GGGCTGTACTAAGCAAGCACAGTACATCCCTGAACTCGGATTTGAAAACAAATCAGAGGATGGCCCTCTACTGACTGGTCGGAGATCCCCGACCGGTAGCCTGTACTGGTAGGCTGCAAAATGGTCGGCGGTCGGCGTTGGCGGTCGGCGGGTATGCAACCCTGGTGAGCTTGATGTTTGAAAGGAAAAAGTACAATGGCGACTGTATGGAAACCTACCACTGCACACACAGACGGCATGCAGTTCGTTGCACCCATGCTGATGGTTGTCATGATTTCTTTATCATCAATCTGGTAACTGATCACATGACCCATCAGCAGTTCCAATTTGCTTGTATTGCCTCCACCGTTTAACTGTGTTCATCAGACAAATCATGTTCTTTGTTGTGAAGTGTCTGTTGAAGAGCTTTTGTCGCCACATGGGAAGACAAACACATCAATAGAAGTAGCTGCTTTCTGCTAACCTGCTGGTCTCATTTATCTTGTCTGCTGAAAAATTACTTTCAGGTATGAGAAGCCAGAAACAGCCTTGAACTGTGGTACAATGCTGAGGGAATGCGCCCGATACCCCACGCTCTCAAAGTAGGTGGTTCTTTTCATGTATTCCTCTTGATATTTTTGGTTAGCTATTTCCAGCACTCTCCTTCTCCGTGGTGCTTCGGTTTCTTCATTGCTCCCTCTTTGCTTATGCTACTTCAATTATTTATGCTTTGAATCTGGGCTACCACAGCTGGGCCCGGGCAAACCTGCCCCCACTTGCCAGGGGAGTCGGCAGATGAAAATGGGCCAAAGAAATCTGAACAAAAAAGGCCTGGCAATGCTTGCATCGGGCTAGGTCTGCCCTGGTCCGAGCATGTGGAATCCACCCTTATCTTTGATTTTGGTGACAGGACAGCTTAGGGGATGTGAGAGGGAGAGAGAGGGAGGGAGACAGACAGGACAGCTTAGGGGATGTGAGAGGGAGAGAGAGGGAGGGAGAGAGACAGGACAGCTTAGGGGATGTGAGCGGGAGAGAGAGAAAGGGAGAGAGACATAGAGAGAGACAGAGATAGAGACAGAGAGGGAGAGACACACACAGANACACACACACACACACACACACACACACACACACACACACACACACAGAGAGAGAGAGAGAGAGAGAGAGAGAGAGAGAGAGAGAGAGAGAGTTGATTTAGGGAAGGTTTGCTATTGTGGGTGAAGTGGATGTACGTTGGGCAATGTGATGAAAGCTTGGCCTAATTGATTGTACAAGCTGAGACCTATTATCAAGTCGAAGACCGGACGTGACAACTGGCAGTTTGCACATCTGGTGATCCTCATTGGTACAGCCACCAACTGCAGCAGTTGTGTGCTTTGTGATCATCACACATATCTCAGTCGAAAATTTAGGAATAGGCGATATATTTTCATGGGGCTATCAGAGTTTGAAGTCCGACTGAAGGACGTGTGAAAGTGCAGATTGTGCACCGCTGCGTCCTCACTAACAACCGGTTGATTGACCGGGGATGACTGACGGTCCCGTGGTTAAAGTCATGCCAGAATAGCTTTCCCTCCCGCAAAATTGCGGACACCATTTCTGCAGTGTCCGGGTGCAGTCCTCACATGGTGCTGCTGGGATCGGATATGGCGCCAGCTAGGCACCAGTGCGGTCTGGCCATGTGAGTGGAGAGCACTTCTGTGCGTAACTTGGCACTCCCTGCAGGACAGCACTTGCGAGGAAACCATGTTCAAACTAGGAAGGAGGGTAGTCCTGTGGGCCCTGCGGTGGAAACGATGTATACACGTCTTGGAAGGGGTGCGGGTAAGATGATAAAACAACAACTACAGACTGACCTCATGGAGCAATGTCAAAGGTAAAATCACAACTGGACTTGTACCAGATCAAAAAGGACATCCAACAAACAATTCAAACATTTTGAGAAGAATGGTTGGGGGTTCACCAGGGGGGCTGGATTGCCAGCATCCTCTGAGGGGGGAGAGACCAACCTGACTGAGTGATCAGAAGAGACTACAGCTTGTGCTTCAAGGACTGGACCAAGATCAGCCCAGAGGTACAGCTGCGGCCCCCTTCCCGAACCTCTTCCCTCCCCACCCGCAGTCGATAGTAGATCTGCAGTGGTATGGCGGCAGCAGCAGCTGAGAGGAATCAAGGAGTCGGAGCGCAGCCAGCGATGCTTCTGTGTATCTGGTGGCCAAAGATGAGTGAAGAGGCCGCACAGCTGTCTCGTGAAGTTGTGTATGAGGGGGCGAGCTGAAGCTGAAACCGGGTAATGGCCTGGGGGAAAGAATGGAAAGATTGTATAATGGCATGCTGGACCAGAGCATCTAAGGATGGGCCCATTAATGCCCCCGCTAGCAGACCCTGCCCAGACAAAAAAAAAAACACCTCAGTTCTGGTTGTCTGTCAAGCTGTCCAGGCGGATTCTGAGAAGGGTTGCAGCGGAATTTTCCGATTTGGCAAGGGGGTACATTCTCTCACCGTGTGAAGTGCTGTTTGGGATATGTGCCTTAGCCTGTTCAACATTTTAGATGTTGTCTCACAATTGGTGCAGACGGGCAATATTTGTGTACCCACAGTTGATCTGATGCAGAATTTCCAGGTCTGTTAACAGGGAAGCATCAAATCCTGTCCATGGGAAGAGGGGGGGGTATCTACCGTGTTGATGTCATGAGCACCTCCCACGGAACTTTGTGCAAGTTTAGGGAAGGTTTGCTGTTGTGGGTGAAGCAGGTGTAGGTGTACAATTGGCATGTGACGAATCTTGGCCTCATGGATTGTACAAGCTGAGAACTATTTGACGAGTTGAAGACAGGACACAACAACAGGCAAATTGGACATGGTGGTCATCCTCATCTGTACAGCCACGGAATACAACCACCAGCTGCACAAGTTATCTACCTCATGATGGGAATTTGATAATAACCCGACAAATAATTCAAAATTAACCAGATAGCATGGTCGCATTCAATCAGGATTAGCACAACCAAAGGTGAAACTCAAATTGAGTCGAGAATGGAAGAGAATGAGAGAGGTTAGAAGATAAGAGAAGGAAGAAGAGAAGGTTGACGAAGAGAGAGAGAGGTAGATGACACAGTTGCGCGCTCACTTCTAACAGAACTGAGGAACGTGAATTCAGAGTACACAACCAAATGTGAAACTCAAATCGAGTTGAGAATGGAAGAGAATGAGAGAGGTTAGAAGATAAAAGAAGGAAGAAGAGAAGGTTGACGAAGAGAGAGAGAGATAGATGACACAGTTGCGCGTTCACTTCCAACAGAACTGAGGAACGTGAATTCAGAGTAGGCACTCAATAGACAGGCAAGAGCTGGGCGTGAGGATTTGCCCATCAGGATGCCTGTGTTTGCTTTGATATCACTCCACATGCGGTCACCTAAGCGCAGCCTAGATCAAACTCAACGAAACGAAGAATATCATTGGACTTTATCGCCATCCACCCACCCTGTCTGTGTTTTTCGCACCCTAACTGTTGCCCCCTTGCCTTTCTCCTTCAGCAGCACACTCTTACGGCCTTGCAGAATACAGAAGTCAACCATCCATCACACTACAGTCACGACAGCATCATGAGGTAAGTTGGAGAATATTTCTTTGATGCTGAACGCCGCAGAAACAAGTTTTTGATCCCTCTTTAGATCCCTGTTTGCTTCAGACAATCTTTTTACCAACTCCTCTGTGCTCTTCATGTTGGAGTTGCTTCTCAAAGGAAGATCCCACAATATTTGGTTTACAGCCCTCGTCCCCCGTTTTCTAGCAACCACCCCGTATTCCTCAAAAGAGGGGCAGATGAGCCGCCACTTACGAGCATCCTTGTGTTTGGGATAACGTGGCATTTACCCAACCTTCCCACTGAGTTCCATCAACCGATGCCTTCAATACCCAATTCTCTATATTTCTGCCCATCGAAAACAACAACCTCCTCCTGTTTTTGCCTGCAAACTTCAAAACCAGGATTACACAGAAACATCACTTCCATTGCCTGGTGATACACTCCGTATCACGCGGGCCCCTGAAAACGGTCCTTTGATATACCCTCGGGCCCCTGAAAACGGTCCTTATACCCTCTGGCCCCTGAAAACAGCCCTTCCATATCTCAACCTCGTCGGTGTTGGAGGAACGATCACACTCGTATGCAATGACTTGCTGTTTTCTGATCGCCTGTAGCCTCTCTCTGTCGAGGCTGTACCATAGATAGGACAGATTCGTAATCTTGTTTGGCTGAGGGCTAACCAAGTGACCAGCCTGGAAGGAAAATTCGTGAGGGACATATCTGTAAATTCAGGAAAATCCAGGCCCGTACTAACTGAATTTCCTACAGCTATCCTAACTGCGAATAGCGGACCTGGGCTACCCCTAGGACAGCCAGGCCCTATAGGCCTAAGCTGATAGACGGTCCTATAGCCTATAGCCGCGTCGGGAGAGGCCCTATAGGCCGAAACAGAATCGGTACCGGTCGGTCAGTCAGTCCGGTCTAGGTCGAGTCTAGGCTAGTTTATACTATAGATAGGATGGGCACATCGGTTCAGGGCTTTTGGCAGTTGGTACTGAGTACATCGGTGCTGCGCTACGCGTGAACCGGAAGTGGTGACGGCTCAGCGTTGTGGGAGACAGACATAGCCAGACCTTCGGAGCACCGGCCATAGCTGGGACCTGCGCTGTACTCTGTCAGCACGCGGGGCTGAACAGAGGTCTGGGCTATTGAGGCCTGCTGGAGGCGAGAGAAGTTGGTGCCCTGGAGTGGGGTCACAGGGTTGTGGCGCTGCAGCCATAGCTGCAGCTTCCTCCTCAGAGGTCATCTTGTCAGCATTTGGTGGCGCTGCTGCAGACTACCACCCGGGAAGTCTTCGGACACTTCGTCATCACCAGATACTGTGGCACTGGTCTTCTTCTTCATCCTCTGAGTGGTGCTTGGCCTCAGCGGCCTGTTTCAGGGTGGCGCTGCTCTCTGAGGGCAGTAATTGGGTGGCGCTTGATGTCTCAGGGGCTCATGGGTGGTACGAGTGGTTACTCAGGGTTGGGAAGTGAAGCGCTGCTCATTTCTGAGCAGCGCACTGTAGGTCTGAAGGTATTCTGACAATTTGAGACCCTGAGTTTAATAAACAGTGTAATACTGGGTTTGGACTATCATCGTTTCATTGTTTCCTGGATGTGATCTACTCGGCTTTCCTTTGTGACTGGTTGTGAGGATTGAGTGGAGTGAATTGCACTTTCAGTGTACCCTGTCATATCACATGGTTAAGTCTTCCGCTGTGTTTATCTCTCCCTGTGCGGTGTGATACTCCTATCCTCTCCCCTTCCTTCTCTGTATGTATGGGCATACCTGGAACTTTATGTGAGTGGGTGTTGGTCTTCAGACAACGAACAACCAGAATCATAACACATACTCCGCACCATTAAAGCACTCGTCTAGCAGTCGACTACTGATCAGTTTTCCAAAGTCCTGTTGAGATGCACTTGACAAGAGCGGTTCGAAAGAGGGCAAGAATGTCTTTTTTAGAGTGCGCAGTGAAAAAACAAATGATGGTTTGGGGATATTCTTCGTGTTCCTCAACAATTATGGTACGAACCCCACTTCACTCATCCTAAAACAAACATGATCTTCCACACAGGGAAAGAATCCGTCCGACGCTTCACAATAACAAACCACATTCTGCTTGTAGATAACGTCACCAATTCTAGAATTCTTTCCCCACACAACGCGCCTATGCCTGACCAGCATCTGCTTCCATGTCTCCAATGTATCAAGCCTTTCAATTAGCATCGCACACACCTTCCGAAACCCCGTCTTGAACCTCCTCTTGTCAAAGTGACTTCTACCATCAATTGGTTGCCATCATTCACTCCAGATCTCTTCCTAATCACTCCCGAAAGTATACACAGAGTGTAGCTGGTTCACTTTTCAGAGAATGATCGAATAGCACTGAACATCCACACCAAACGCTAAAAATCCCAAAAGTATAAATCTTTCTGCGATGGAGGATATAACTTTTACAAGCACACGCTTAAAGAAATAGAGGGATGACCAGAAAGAAATAATAGAAGTAAACTCAATCGTCATGCCATCGACCAGCCATTCCCTCGCTCTTCTGAGCTGTGATTTACCAAACCTCGTTCGGTTTAATAATTTCCACTGATTGACTAGCAGTTTCCCCCCCATACATTAGAGACAGTATTCTCTCTGCATTGGGTCAGTATCTTAATGAGACTCATGGACGACTGTCCATGTGAAGCGTAGAAATTCAAGTGCGTCCAATTACCGATGCTCACCTAGGGAGTGAGAGAGAGTAGGCTAATAGTGTGTCTAGGTTGAGTAGGAGAGTAGCATAGGTGGTCGCATCATAGTAGGGCTACTGCATTATTGCTGTATGGAGTGTTGAAGGTACGAAGAGGGCTTTCATTGTTGAGAGGCTTCAGTGCTGTGTTATGTACCCGATTGAACTTCAATCCACAGTGAATTCACACGTTCTCATACATGCATGCAATTGCAGAGTAGACTTGGAGCGTGTGAATTCGTTGTGGATTGAAGTTCAGCTCAGTGTGTTCTTAGTTTGGTGTGCTCTCGGCTTGGTAGTTCTGCTTTCGACTCGGCTTACTTGTAATTGGCCTTCTGTGAGCTTTTGCATCTAGAAACTTTTGTGTTCGCATTGGATGGTTCCTTGCACTTTCAGAAGGAACAAAGGAAATTAGAGTAGGCCTGGAGAAGGTTATTTGCGTAGGATCAGGACGTTTGGTTAGTGCCTCCTCTCAACACCATGAATATCATTTTGCAATGGGTGAAAACAGGCTATTTTTGTGTGGTGGATACCCTCTGTGCAATCGATGTGCCTTCACTCAACATATCCCGTGCTATCTTGCATTGGGTGAAAATGGGCGATAGGTAGATGCCCACGGTTTGGTAACTGGTACACAATTCGGAGCTATGTGAACATGAATGTGCTTTTTCCTGTACTACAGCTGTTGATAGAAGTCTGTCAAAACATAGCAGTAACAATAAGCATCACTTCACCTTTGAAAATGAACAAAGAAAATAACCGGGGATTGTTATTTTGCAAGTAAAGGGGTTAGCTCAACCAGGACCTTTAAACTTTGGTTCTTTGTTTTAGCCTCCAACCTGTGAGTTGGTTTTCAACAATCTGTGGCAATCAATCTGCAGGCAAGGTACAGGGGCTTACAACTTCACATTTTGCTTGATTGCATCAAAAGCTAGACTCTTTTTCTATGGACCTTGAGTATCTGATTGTTTGACTTAGTTGATTTTGGCTGGAACGGTGCTTCCTTTCTGTGCAGGTACATGCTTGAATCTCCTAACTTCAAGTTATTTTTCAAGTATGTGGAGCTCTCCTCATTTGATGTCGCCTCAGATGCATTCCAGACGTTTAAGGTGAGCTTGTGTCTGCATGCTCTGCATACAATTGCACTGTTAGTTAAAGAAGCTTGGGATGGCCTTAGAATTCATCAGATTGCTGTATTGCTATCTTCAACTTGCGACATGAGGTGTTGTCAGACCCTTAGCCAACAAACAGGTTTGCTAAACTGTAAGTTGGGGCTGAAGTCGTATATCATCTCTTCCTTTCAGGCGCGTTAGTTAGTCGTGTTCATTAGGAGTTAATGAGACAGTGCTTGAAGCCTGGACATCAAGCACGGTTACTGAAGACCTGAATTTTTATCTTCGTCTCCGATTTTCTTTTGCCACCAGTACCAGTGTGGTCCTTTGATTCTCTTCAGTATGAAGCTTTGTCCCTGTTTTGGGTTTGCTCTCTTCAGTATGAAAAGTTGCTTGGTTGCTGTAGTGTTCGTCTTTTTCTGTCTTGAAACCTTGACTCTGATTCCAAATCAGGGCACTTGCTGCTTGAATCACTCTCAGTTCATGTCCGGCATTTCATCAAGACCTATGTTTTTCCAGCAGGCTACACCACTGCAGTGCAACACTCTTTGCATGTTTGGCTTTCCTCTTGGCGGGTTTTTCCGACGGCTGTCNGTTTTTCCAGCAGGCTACACCACTGCAGTGCAACACTCTTTGCATGTTTGGCTTTCCTCTTGGCGGGTTTTTCCGACGGCTGTCTATGTACGTCTACTTTTTAATGTTGCGCTCTCTGTGGTCTTGAACAAGGTTGGCCAAACAAATGTTTGCTACTATGATAACAACTGTTTACATGTTATGGTAACCGCAGACCCGGACACCAGACAGATCTGGATGAAATTTCGAACCTCCATCCAGATCAATCCAGATGACCGGATTACTGAACAGGACATGGACATCCAGACAGATCCGGACCCGAAATGTCTGGATCAGGACATGGACATCCAGACAGATCTGGACTCAAAACATCTGGATCAGGTTCAGGAACCTCGATTATGTCGAGTTCCTAAAACAATATAAATATGTTATGATCCTGGCTATCTTGCAGTACAACTCAAACAAATACAATGCCGTTCAATTGCAACTGAAATGAAAGAACTTGAAAAAAAAATAGACAAGGAAGAAAAAGAAATAAGAACGGAAGAGGAAGAAGAAGATAAACATTGCAAGTACCAATGTGAATTCCCGTTCACCCTGCCACTTTCTTCAACCTCCATTAACTCCCCCAGCTTCTCCTTCTTAACAATAATTAGTTAATAACTTAATAGGAAGAATGACAATGGAAAAATGAACCAGAACCAATGTCTGAATTCTCCCCTTAGTGCCAGCCTTTTAAGGAAACTACCATAGCCACTCTACACCTCTTCTCTATCTCCCATGTGTGCCGCTGGGTGTGGTGGACTATCGCGTTCAACCCCGATCTTCAAAAGATGCCACAGAGCTACTATGTCCCTCGTACTGTGTCCGCCATGCCCCTCTAGTGCCGGAAGTCTTCCTTGGAGATGCCAACCCCGACTGGGGCTTTCCAGGTACAGCACCAAACCCTGTCTCTCGCCTCCTTGCTCACCATCTCCTTCTTCCTCCTCCTCCTTCCTCCTGCTAGCCACGGTCTTTCCGTGGTCACTCTGGGTGCTCCCACCATAGCCGAGGTAGAGCTCAGGACCACCTTCTCCCTCTTCCACTTATTGCTGCTCAGGTAAGTGGGCGCTCCAGCAGCATGCCTCCCAAACTGCACACTTGAAAATGAGGTGGAGCACTTTGCCTCCCAGTTTGATATACTGGGTGAAGTGGTGGCACACTCTCCAAGTCTACCCGGTGCCTCCCACTGTAGGAGGAAACATCGTTGCAGTCTGGTATGTGGACGCTGGGGCAGTGCCTTCTCGTGCGGTTGTTCAAGGCGGCACACTCTCCAAGTCTACCCGGTGCCTCCCACTTTAGGAGGAAACATCATTGCAGTCTGGTATGTGGACGCTGGGGCAATCCAGGCAGTCCGGATATGATCAAGTGGTTTCAAAATAAACTTATGAAACGAAATTTAGAAGATGTTTTTCCTTTCTTCTCTGTCTCCAGTTCGGTTGCCAGTTGGCAAAGCAAAAATGAGCCACACAAAGCAGCACGCAGTACCACTCGACATGGTCATACGAGACTGAGGTCGCTCACAACACACCAAAAACACAAGCTGTTATGATCATCCTTCTTCAATTTAAAAGTTAGATGACATACACAATTCTATTCCATTTTGAATCAACCCAGTGCTGAGAGTTGTTGGCTTTGCAGTCCTATACCATTTTGAGTTTGTGGGAAAACCAAAGTTTGGGGCTTTTTGTACCCAAGAGCCTAATATTTGCTCAGTTGGTACACCCATGAACTGTCCAAATGCAGACCCGAGTTCGAATCCAGATGAAGGAACATGATGCGTAAAACCAAATATTTGATTATATTTCTGAATTACCTGGGCCCGGTCGGCTCAATGATGATATCTCAAGGCCGTCACCCTTTTAAAAAACGAAAAAAAAAAAAAGAAGGAAATACAAGTTGAGAGTTTTTGAATTTCCTAATTCCAGGCATGTGCAAATCTGGCAGCTAGATTGTCCAGGTGACTCCTCTAGTCGTCCAGATTGGACTGGGCATGAGGGTGAGGGTTAGACCCCAAAAGGTGATTTGACGTGATTTGGCTTTTTGTTGTAAAGCTTCTATCTTGCTATCCCAGTCTTTGTAAATTCTGTTCTGTCCACATTGCTGTACCTCTTTTCTTTAGTTGTTGAAGTGCCTCTCAGTTTTCTGTCATCTCATTGTCTCAGGGATGGTGTTCTTCCAGATTCTCTCCAATGTGGCTCGTTTTTCCAGTGAGGTCGGCAGCATGTTTTGAGCTTATACTTGTCCCGCTTGCAGGAATTCCTCACCAAACACAGGCCGATTGTGTGTAACTATTTGTCGGTACGATACAACGAGGTAAGTATGTCTCATTCACTGCCTGTTCAACTTCGACCACGTCCCTTGCTCACATCAGTTTGCACTACGTTCCTCTGCAGCCCACCCGCCCTGAATTCATGTACCCATTCTCGCAAGTACTCAGCCAACCACCGTTCTGGCGCAGCCAAAGGCAAGGTGCAGTTCAAGTATCTCTCGGCTGTTTATTATATCATGGCATATCATGCGTTTGCTGTGAGGATCATTATCTGATGGGACAGTGTGCCGTTCTTGGCAGGAGTACTGGGTGTCATCTTGGATGTTTGCACAAAAATGTTTGCCTTAATAGGAGATTGTTTGATGCATGGCCCTGTATTAGATCATGGAATATTATGCATTTGCTGTGAGGAGCATTATGTGACTGCATCATGGAATATTATGCATTTGCTGTGAGGAGCATTATCTGACTGCACGGTGTGCCATTCTTCTCAGGAGTACTGGGGGTCATCTTGGGTGTTTGCACATAAATCTTTGCCTCAATAGAGGATTGTTTGATGCATGGCGCTGTTTGTTACGGACTCCGCCAGCGCACGATCCCTGGTCTGCGGGTTACCACTCGCCAGCTTGGTTCCTTTTTTATTTTTTTATTTTTTTTTACGATTCTTTAAATTTCTTTTGTTTTATTTTACCTTGTTTTTGCTTTTCCGATTTCGGACAGTTGGTGCCATCTGCATTCTGGCGCCCGTTTTCAAAATTCCTTCTTTTTGGACTTATGGATTTCGGACTTTTGGCGTCATCCGGTTTGGCTTTCAGAAGTTTTGGAGGTGTGGTCAAACTTCATTGAAATTATTTAAATGTGCAAGGAGGTGGCCTGAAATTGTTTGCCCTGTTCTCAAGTTGACAAAAAACTTTGGAATATATGTACTTCTGTGGTGGCTGAACGGCGACTGGTAATTATTTCAAACCTAAAGAAAATGGGAAGGGCGACTGCTAATTGTTTCAAACCTAAAGAAGATGGGAAGTATGATGTGCCTCCTTGGATTGCACATGCCCCAACGGTTAGGAAAGAAGTGAAAAGGTACCGATCCTATTGAAGAGAGTAAAAGCCTTTCAAAGTTTTACATAAAGGGAAGGAACGAATAATTACAAAGCAGGCTGGGTTTCAGACCTCTTGTTTATGCATCAAGGATGCCCACGTGGATTTGGCGTGAGAGCAGAAACACAAGTGGATTCCTGGCTTGCAGGTGTCAGTAACGTGAGAATTTCTTCTTCTGCTCCTCCTCCTCCTCATCGTCTGCCTCTGGCTCCTCTTTTCACCGAAAGGGAAGTTCGTTTACTTCTGCCATATCCTCCATCGCGTAAGTAACTTGATGATTGTGTGACGGTGCCATATGGACATTAGCACTGCCATTTAGGCAGTTTAAGCATCCAGTCATTTCATCCACTTTTCCCTTCTCTTCCTCTATTTCCCCCCCCCTTTTCTTCCCTTTTGGTCTTGTCTGTTTGCTGCTTGAATATGTTCTCATTGGTCTCTTTTGAATTTATATGTGATATCTAATTGATTCTAATATCTATTTATATGTGATATCTAATTGATTCTAATATCTATTTAATAATTTAGGCCAGGTGGCTAGGTGTGGGTTGTGGCAGGCTGCTTGGGTGGGGTCCTGGCAGGTCGGACTCCTGGGAATCCACTGGGTGGTTCTGCGCAAAGTTGCCTAGAGTCTGAGCTTTGGCTGGAGGCATACAGGACGCTCAAGGGAGATCCTCAGGCCCTGAAGTGGCTGAAAAAGGAAAAAGTAGAGACTTACAGGCCCCGTGTTGTTTTTCCGGCCGCCGATCATTCAAGATCAATTGCACAAAATTATTAGAGTGGGGGGAGTTATTGGGCCATCTATATTCCAATTTGAATGTCCCAATTTCACAAATTTATGAGCCCGGGCTAACTCCATGCCAGCAGCCCTTCATTGATGACATACTGCTTAGTTGTCACCTGGAGTAGCTGTCTCTTTCATAAACTCTGATGTAGAGAGGAGGAAGAAGGTGAGTGCCGAATCTTTCTTGCTCTTATGCTGCTGTTGCTCGATTTGAGTGTGTGTGTGTGTGTGTGTGTGTGTGTGTGAAAACATGCAGACACACACACACACACACACACATATATATATACACACACAGAGAGAGAGAGAGAGAGAGAGAGAGAGAGAGAGAGAGAGAGAGAGAGAGAGAGAGAGAGAGAGAGGGAGGGGCGAACATGTGTGTGAAAGTTATATGTAGTTTCGTATTGACCTTGATAGTTCATGTTTGGTAGCATATGTTCTTGTTAGAGGGTCTGTTGTTCTTTTCATTGTGGCTGATGTGAGATTTTGTTTGGCACAGGATGTTGATGAGGACTCTCAGACAGTGTTTGCTGTAGATGTGATTCCCACAGGCGGCTGTTTCCGAGCACATGGAAAGTCGGTCTCGAAGGGTGCTTTAAGCAGTTGCACTCCTGATGTTGTGGTAGTGTTGTTGGTTGGATTCACGGGGCTCTTGCTGCCGCTGAGATTCCCATGGGCTCTTACTGCGGACTCTTTGGGGGCATTGGCATGGTGCAGGAGGTAGAGCTTCTGGAGTTGCACTAACATACCGATCCTTTGTCATTACAAGATGTATCATGTATTCTACTAGAACAGTCGGACCTTTGTTTCGGGATGCTTTTTGTTGAATATAGCGTTTGGAGAATAGTCATGTGTACCCCCTTTTTTTAAATGATGTGCATGTGTGCCTTTCAGGCAGACAGGTGTGTGGCACATAGTGCTGAACCACACCAATCTGGCCAGCCTTGCACTCTTCTTGTCCTGTGTGGATGTTGAATCGATGTGGTGTCCATTCATATTAGGTGATTTTTTGAGACACATGCTTGGCTGCACTTTTTTGGGAGTCCTTGTCTTTGTCCCCGTGAAAAATTCTTAAATGTCCTTTTTGCATTGGGTGTCATTCCCATCAGCAATCATAAAGTGACATAAACTATATACCCCCAAAACCAAGGCTGCCCCTATTCCGGGGAGCAGCAGTCTGGTTCCTTTTCCACCATCAAGTCAAATAAGATATGCACAATACTCGCACACGGTCCTCCAAGAGGGAGTCATTGACTTTGAAGAAGCTGGGTCCTCGTCTCGGTGCTGCCTCCAGTACCAAATTGAGATAGATGAATTGATGATCCAATCCTGGGGAGTGAGCAGCTCGCTTATGTCAGTTGCCTGCACAGCTCCTTCTCTCCATGATGCGGACTTGTGCTCGCTTTGTGCTTAAGGTAAGTGAACACTTGATGGTTGGCTGCAATGCCCGAAAGGCGTCGATAAGGTGCTGCTCTGTCATGAGATTATGGATGGTTGCAGCCTCGTCCGACACCGCTCCTTCGGGACCAGAAGCGCCTTTGGATAGTCTGTCCAGGCCTGGGTCCAGAACTGCGTTCCAGTCCTCCGCCAGCAACAGATGTGCTGGAGAGGTACACAGAGGTGCAACCACTTCAATCAAGTCTGCCCTCTGCTGGAGTGTGTTTGGGCAGTAAAGTGTGATGAGCCGAAAGTGTTCTTGCGCGAGGTTGAAGTTCACCATCACCCATCAACCTCCCTGGGCATCTTCCTGGGCCGACTCAACTATCAGGTTTTGCGCTGGTCCTGGATTGGTGTGTATCTGTGCTGCTGAGCCAGGCCTTGGGGCCGGGGCCCAGTGAGCTTCCCAGACCCATATGAGTATTACCTGGTGCACCACCTGATGCTCCGGTGTTTCAGTGAGATGCGTCGATTGAGGGCACAAAATGTCCGGAGGGTGGGCTTCGTACCTGTCTAGTGCATGTGTGAAGTTGCTCCATTTCTGCTGGTTGTTCAGAATGGTGGCTAAGCCATTGATGTTACAGCGAACCACCTTCATATCTGGTACCTGTGTTACTGCTCTGTGTGATGATGGTTCCACTACATCTTCCATGGCTGGGTATCGGGGTTGTCTGATACCTGTTCATCTTGCTAGAATGCGTCTAATGCCCCAGGTAGAAGGCATCCTTCTTTTCTCTGACAGCGTGTTGATCTCCTTGTGCCACCCCGCTCGTCTGCCAGGAACAGCCTGTAGTTGGTGACCGTCGCTGCTGCCAAGGCTGCCCTCGGTTACCTCCTGGCCTAGCAGGCTATAAGGGTGTGAAATTTGTGAAAGTGTTATGTATCCTAGCACTGAAATCAGCCCTGTACTGATCCTTCAAGGTAATCTCGATTTTAAGCATTTGGAAAATACCGGATGGTTTGTGATGATTTGTGGATGGAGAGAGAGAGAGAGAGAGAGAGAGAGAGAGAGAGAGAGAGAGAGAGAGAGAGAGAGAGAGCAATCTTTTTTTAAAACACACATGATGGCCAACGACCGTACCAATACGACCAGGGGAAGCAAGCCAACTATCTCAGTTGGTTGGCACCAAGCGTGCCACATACGGTCCTGGGGGGGGGGGGGGGGGGAGTAGGTTGGGTGACGGAAAGCCTGAGAATTTTGCCAGGAGCTACTCCCGCAGCATGGAGTAATAGTAGTGTCTTCCCCACACGAAACACAGGCAACCCACAGACACGCAAAATTGATGGCCAAAGACCGTACCAATACTACCAGGGGAAGCAAGCCAACTATCTCAGTTGGTTGGCACCAAGTGTGCCCCAGGCAGTCTGTGGGGATTAAACCCATGCGCGTTTGACCCACTGATCTAGGCCGATGGCCATATGATCTAAAATTGGCAGCAGCATGATTGTATATTCTGATACTTAGTTTATTTGGAAGTATGGATAACTCTGACATGCTGATACTTAGTAATCCATTGAGGAAGAGTTTTGGAAAGAATGGCATCACACAAAGGGTAATCCATTGAGGAAGAGTTTTAGAAAGAATGGCGTCATCCCATAATCGCTGGATAACTCTGACATGTGACACAAAAGGTAATCCATTGAGGAAGAGTTTTAGAAAGAATGGCGTCATCCCATAATCGCCATACCTAAATATAGAATGTGACTCCGTACTCATCCTTAAATATG